TTTCGTGCGTTTGTGAACAGGTGTGATGAAACCAGTGGGATTTCCAAAAGATCAGGATTCCAATTATAATAAAGCTGTACATAAAAAAGAACGAAAACTAAACCATGAACAAATGTCAATCTATTTATTAAGTGGTGGTTTATGACAACTTGATTACTACACCAAATCCCATTGCTGCACGACTGGTTTAACAAATCTAATCATGCATATAAAAAGAATTGTACATCAAGAATGACTTCAGTAAATGCATATGAATAGTCAACAATAAATCAATGGCTACAATAGACAAGTCAAAAGCTATTGGTAATTTGATTTCCAAAGCAAATTGCACAGAAGAGACAAGTATTTTGAGTATCGACTGGCAGTCTAAACAGTGTGACGATAAAAATCTGAAATTTCTGCATAGAAACTTAGGATGTAGAGCAGACATATTAATATAATCAGGAATTTAATCACACGGAAATCAAAAACGTGAAATAATAATATCAGCAGAGGTCAGAAATAAAGACAGAAAAAAACAAATGAGAAGTGTAGAATAATATGACTTAGGGCCTAAAGGAAGATCACGATCAATTTTGAACCATGTTATCAGAGATTTCTAGCCATAAGTTATGATTATTTGATGGATCTGGATAAGAACGTCTGTATCGTCCAACGCGGCTGAAAGTAACAACTAATAACTTGATGAACTGATACAATCGCGCAGTGGGCAGTATACGACCCGTTAGCACAGTAGTGTATATGGAGTTACTACATCATTTAGCGTTTGCAGTCTGCACCATCCTGATATGCTATCTTGGAATATAGTTGTGCTTAGAATATTTAACTGCCTTGAACATAAAAACGTATGTATGTATCACTATGATACTTATCATTAGAAATAAGGTAATTGCGATGATAGAAGTGCTTACCTCATAATCATTAAACACGTTCAACACCTTATTTCGCTCTTTTGAATACGGAAGCCAACCAGCAGTGACCAAATTTGTCCACGGATATGCCACGTCCAGATGTAAAATGGCGCTAAGTACACTTAAAGCGTCGGCGTGATATGTTCGTGCAACACGATATAGTTGGGTACGTGGAATTCCAATAAGCATATCTAAACCTTAATTACAATAAAGATAGTATGAATGAAATTGGTTTATAAAACAGTTTGCAAGAATATCTTGAACAATAGAATTTCCATGTCTTAAATTTTACACACAAATTAATGCTAAATAATGATCACCGTGTAACAATCTAAAGACAGTACAAATAGAAATTATTTTTCTATTGGTCTTATAAACAGTTCATTCACATTGCTTACCAAGAGGCCATGCGATTTCTTCCATGAAATAACGTGCCAGTGTCCGTTTCTTGTGGTCTACTTTGCGCACGATTGCATCAGCCAATAAGGCCAATGAGTGTAGATGAAACACTTGAGTTCCTTTACAACGGTTATTATTGATTCTTAGACTTACGTGGTGGGACAGGAGGTATCTGGTTAGTGATATCGTTTAGAGCATTCCTATGGTCATCTCTCCATTTAGCTAGGGATGAATGACCTACAAAGTATGGAAAACCGGACTTTTTATATCAGTAAGCGTTATCAAATACCTGATGCGTGAGTAAATCAGATACAGTAACATTGGCAACCACGAACTGGGGAAGATAATGTTGTATCGAAGATTCAATATCCAGAAGTTCGCTGAAATGATAAGATGGATACTTTACTCTTACTCTTGGTACAACTTAGCGAATGAGAAAGGAACAACAACCATAGACACAGTGAACAGTTGACTAATAGTTGAAGTTACCCATGGCAGTCGAAATCGTTTGTCAACATAACCTCCAATCGCATCGACAACATGTTCCCCACGATAATAGACAGAAAAAGAAGAGCCAAGTTCATTGTTTTGCTGTATTTGATTTCTGAAATATACACGAGTTATATTAACTTACTTATAAACATGGATTGCGTGTTTAAATTGAGTAGAACTTGACCCACTCATTAGTGGTTGCAAATAAAAAAGTGAATATGAATATCCTAATACAAAGCATGACACACCCAGAATAATACCAAGCCAGGCTGAGAAATGGATCTGCTGAATAAAATTAAATTCATTTATAGATGGTGAAAAACTGCAAAATTTTCACACATTTAACCTTGTGTACAGTATAGCTATCTAAGACATATTTTTGCCTGGATTATTACAGGACCATAAAACAGGGAACAAATTAGCAACTGACTAGGAATATATTACTATCATAAAAAAGTTAGGAAATATATTGTTTAAGTGATAAAAATGAACCTTAATGTAAATGCTAGTTTACTAATCATGTTAACAAAGAAAAAGACCGGTATCACACAATTCCCCCATTTGTTAGTCACTGAGTGAAAGATCATTTACTAAGGAGTAGAATTAAAAGGACTCAATACGATAATCTTGGATAAAATTTGCTAAATATATAGACTTCGGAACATTATCGGTTTAAATAATAACCATCTATAAATACTAAAAGGGATATTTTTAAAATGAAAACTTGTAATTTTCTTAAATCATATTACAAGCGAGCACAGCCACGAACTTCCCTAAACTACATGCCCATTGTTAGCATCCTGTTTATCAGCACAGTATGAGTTAACTAGAAGATATTTCAGAGTCAAGGTGTCATGATTAATGTAATTTAAATAACTATGCATTCGACCTCCGGTAATTTTTGTGAATGCTCAATAAGTCCCCAAGCAATTAGTTTTGAGTATGGTCTACATACCATGACAAACCATACAAACAGATCTGCTAGCACACAGAAAATAACAGATTCTAATGATATCTAGTTATACGTGGATAGACATATACTGAGATAAAGCCAATAACTCGCAATTTTGTGCGAAATGTTGACGGTAAATATGGTTCACACTAATAATTTGAGGTTAGTTGTAAAAAAAGGTGATTAAGTCAGTCAACAAAATGATATCAGGCGCTGAAACAGGTTTGACGGCGGTTATCAGCCCTCGGTTACCCACACCGTGGAGGATTTGTTCTTGAGGAACCTTAGATGGATTATTGCCGGTCTTAGCGACGTAGGAACATGACTGTCGAGCCAACATGGCTCCTATACTATGGTTCCTATACTATATCCTTATTGCAACCTTTGACCTAACCACTCCTATGAATCCGCTGTTCATCTTGCTGTGCTAATGAGGTATGGCAACCTGGACCGATGCACATATGTGCCTGGTCCTACGTTGTAGCTGACTGACTGACATGGCTCAGTCCACTTGTCAGTGACTTCATGGATTTGTGCCACGTTATGGTCTGGCCGCCCCTAGCTTTCTTCCAATCTACTCCTATACCATTGAACATCGCAGGTCGGTAATTGGGCATTCGTAATACATGTCCCAGCCATCTCAACTGATGAAGTTTCACTACTTCACACTACCAGATACCTCTCGCTAAATCAACATCCTCTGGAACTAATTAGTGAGCACAGTATTTCCGATTACTTTGCAATCCCATTTCAAACTGACATATCGTTTTGATATCATTTATTAAGGTTCTTACTTGCTCTTGCTCTTCTTGTAATACCATAGAAACTGACACAAATTCAAAATAATAGATCATCAGAAATCCTTTTCCAACCTGCAGATACGAAATGGGACTTGTGTTGGATACAAATCATTTGTGTCATGAGGTATGTACAGCTGGTTATATTGAGGCAGTCTTTTGACAGGAAATATTTTAGTGACTTCAATCGCACTGCAGGTCTAAAAGCACTAGAACTTCAGTACCGAAAGTTCAGGAACGAATGCGAAACGGGTATAACTGTCTCGTGCTAAGTAAGATAGTTAGTACATGACAGCCTCACCTGTATAAAACGAGTTTTTTTATAACTTAAGAAGAGGAAGAAATGAAGTGATGGAATCAGTCGTCAAATTATATGAAAATTCGGACTATAATTTCCGGATCTCCCTATTTTGAGCAAGCCGTTATACATAAATTTTAGGGAAATTCTGGGGGAGTGGCACAAAACCTATAACATTTCCACAAACGTTGGGAAAACTGACAAGTGTCACTGGACTTCTAAGAAAACCCCGAACTTTACTCAAAATCATCAGATCGAATTGTGGACGTGCTGAGGCGACCCTGAGAAAAATCAACTACCTTATAGAGTTAAGAAAAGGTTATAAGTAAACTTAAGAAATTAGAAGGTTCGAGTTTATATGACGAACCGACATCAAGGCACGGTAAAAGAAATGTCCGATCCTCCCAAAGTCGCCCGCCGTTTCCCTTGGACAACCTTGAGGAGGACGTTTCATAACCAATTGTTATGGGTGTAGCGGTAAATAAATCCCCAAAATAAATAGCACTAAGTTTTCGACATTGGATGCTGACCATATGTTTTAGTGGACTCACCTAGCTGAAGGCGCTCGGTCAGGCATCCGCACCAGATCACGTGTGGTAACGCCGTGCTCAACATCAACCGCAATCGCCAGCCAGATTAGATCAGAGAATTCCGATATATTGGTCATCGCCAAATATACTCTTCCGATCTCCTCGACTCTGTCTTTTGATTTCTTTGGGCGGGAACGAAATATATTAGAAGGTGTTACTGGTAGAAGCGTTGTCAAACACTGAATACCTGTGACATAATCATTGGTGAAACCGACGTGATCTGGTACACCTAATTGCAAATGTGAGTCTGTTCCTTTTTGAATTTTTATATATCATTGCTCTCTTTTTTTTTCATTTTTTTAAACATTGTGATTTTTTTTCGTGTTTTTTCCTGGATATATATATTTTCCCCTTGTTCATTATCGTACTTCGTACTTCATCATGACTGAACAGACACCTAAAGTACTCAAGCTTAAGACTTTGTCCCCGCCTTCGTTTCAACTGATGCCTTTCTGGCCCGACAACATCGAAGCCTGGTTTTGCTACGCAGAAGCCGACTTCTCCGAGCACGGCGTGATCGACACACGTGCACAATTCCTCGCAGTAGTCAAGGCACTACCGCGCGAATTCAACAGGTACGTAACACCTAGTATGTTTACTAGTGATGTTTCCGATCCTTACGAAATCTTAAAACGCTCGATTCTTAAACGAGGAGACCTAACCGATCGACAAAGGTTAGATCAACTCTTCAACAATATCGACCTGCAACACGGTTCTGCGACGGACATGTTGCAACGGATGAGAGAGGTAATAGGCCCAAGAACTTTCGACGAAGGCCTATTCAAACAACTCTTCTTGTCAAAACTTCCCCAACAGGTGCAAGCAGTTCTGGTCTCGTTCCAGAACAACGCCTTAGACGAACTAGCTGCATCTGCCGACCGCATTCTAGAAATTACGAAATCTACTACCGAGGTATTTTCAGTCAAAGAAAAACCTCAAACGACTCAGAATGATATAAACGACTTATGTCACACAGTCACGCGTTATCTTAGTCTTCGTACCGACCGTAAGAGATCGCGCACACCACGTAGAAGCATTTCTCGTAAGCGATCTGTGTCTAGACCACGAGAGACAGATAACCCCGACTGGTGCTGGTATCATAACCAGTATGGAAAGTTTTCCAGAAATTGCAGAAAACCCTGCAATTTTCCCAACACGAAACCGACTGATTCGAAAAGCAATTCGGGAAACTTCCAAGCCGGCACGCGTTAACGGCAACCGTAGCCGGCGAACATAGCCGTCTGTTATTCGTCACAGATGTGACAACGAGAGTTCGCTACCTCGTCGACACTGGCGCAGAAGTTAGCGTTCTCCCAGCAAATCCTAACGACCGGCTTCAGGAATCGGCTTTTAACCTACAGGCGGCAAACGGAAAACCGATCGCTACGTATGGCAAAAGGTACGTTTACTTTAACATGGGTTTACGCAAACCCATCCACTGGATTTTCGTTATTGCAGATGTTTCTATGCCAATCATTGGTATGGACCTTCTACAACACCACAATCTGATCATCGACACTCGCAAACGGAGGCTAGTAGACGGAAACACTAATTTGTCCGTTTGCGTAACTTCTTTTACTGGTTGTAGAGTATCCCCAGTCACAGTTAAACATATGATAGACCCACTCTATCAACCACTACTCGATAAGTACCCTGGGATACAACAAACTCAACCGAAACTACCGTGTGTAACCAGCAATGTTACACATCACATCACGACTACAGGACCACCTGTATTCTCTAAAGCACGACGACTAGCTCCTGAAAAGCTAAGGTTAGCGAAAAACGAATTCGATCACATGATGGACTTAGGAATCATACGACCGTCAAGTAGCCCATATGCATCTCCGTTGCACATGGTCCCTGAAAAGGACAACAACGATTGGCGTCCAACTGGTGACTATCGGCAATTGAACGCGAAAACCATTCCCGATCGTTACCCGTTGCCTCACATTCACGATTTGACAGCTACCTTGAAAGGTACAACTGTCTTTTCGAAAATCGACTTGGTTAAAGCGTATAACCAAATCCCTATGGCTACTGACGACATACCGAAAACGGCTATCATAACTCCCTTCGGACTCTATGAATTTTTGCGAATGCCTTTCGGTCTAAGGAATGCTGCTCAAACATTCCAAAGATTCATAGACGACGTTTTTCGAGGTCTCAACTTCGTACACGCGTATGTTGACGACTGTCTAATCGCAAGTCCGGACAGAGAAACACATCTCAAGCATCTGGATCTTGTTTTCGAACGACTTCAAAAACATGGCATAACTGTAAACGTTCAGAAATGCCAATTCGGAACCGACTCGTTAGACTTCCTAGGACACACTATCGATGCTCAAGGCATTCGACCTCTTAGGACCAAAGTGGCGGCCATTCTGGATTACCCAGAACCGACCACCGTCAAGCAATTACGCACGTTTAACGGCCTGGTAAGTTTCTATAGACGTTTCATACCCAAATGCGCATTACTTATGAAACCTCTGACCGACCAACTTCGTGGAAATGCGAAATCCATTAATTTGGACGACACCGCACGAAAAGCATTCTCCACAGTTAAGGAACTGATTGCTAAAGCAACGATGCTCGCACATCAGGACACCCGAGCACCCATTAGCATCGCAGTAGACGCATCCGACTCGGCAATCGGAGGAGTCTTACAACAATGGGTTAACAACTCCTGGCAACCCTTGGCATTTTTCTCAAGAAGGTTGCTAGACACCGAATCGAGGTACAGCACATTCGGTAGGGAACTCCTAGCTATGTATTGTGCTGTACGGCATTTCCAACACTACATCGAAGGCCGTGAATTCACTCTTTTCACGGACCATAAACCGCTCATTTTCTCGTTAAGCTCTCCTTCTGACAAGTACTCTCCACGTGAGTCTCGACAACTGGACTACATTTCTCAGTTTACTTCAGACATCCAACACATTTCTGGAGCAAACAATGTAGTCGCAGACGCCTTATCTCGAATAACTTCCTTGAACAGTTTCCAAGGAATCGACCTTCTTAAACTCGCCGAGCTTCAAAAAGAAGACAGTGATCTTCAGCACGAGTTATCGTCCACAACACTTAAACTACGCATCAAACAGATGGGAACAGGTAAGGAAACCTTACTGTGTGACACATCTACAGGTAGGGATCGCCCAATCGTGCCGAAACATTATCGACGCAATGTCTTCAATACATTGCACAAACTTTCTCATCCAGGTGTTCGTACAACCATCAAGCTTATAGCAGAAAGGTTTTGCTGGCCTGGAATGAATAAAGACGTGAGGGAGTGGGCACGCTCCTGTGTAAGCTGCCAGAAATCTAAGGTTATCAGACACAATAAATGTCCCTTAGGCTCGTTTAAAACTCCCGATGCTCGTTTCGACCATGTTCATCTGGATTTGGTAGGACCTTTACCAGATTCAAATGGATACTCTTATCACTTGACCTGCGTCGACCGTTTCACTCGATGGCCAGAAGCAGTACCTATCAAGGACATCACTGCTGAAACAGTGGCCCGCACCTTCGTCGAACGATGGGTAGCAAACTTCGGCTGCCCTTCAACCATCACTACAGACCGCGGACGTCAGTTTGAATCCGATCTTTTCCGTCGTCTGACCACACTTTTAGGAATCACTCGCTTCCGAACGACCGCCTACCATCCACAAGCAAACGGGTTGGTAGAACGTTTTCACCGACAACTGAAAGCTTTGCTATCAGCTGCAAACGTTTCACAGTGGACCGACACTCTTCCACTCGTCTTACTAGGTATCCGCAATGCAGTGAAAGCTGACATTGGATACACTACGTCTCAACTCGTTTATGGAACGACACTTCGACTTCCAGGAGAATTCGTGGATTCTTCGTCCTCTTCAATGAACATGGATCTAACCTCCTACACGAACAGGCTTACAAACGCAATGCGTTTAGTTAAACCTGCTTCCACTCGACCTCAATCAACTGATGTTTTCGTTCAACCTGACTTACGATATAGTACACACGTTTTCGTTCGTCGAGACTCGCATCGACGACCCTTCGAATCAGCATACGAAGGACCCTTCAAAGTTCTTCAACGTGAATCTAAGTACTATATAGTCGATAAGAACGGAACCAACGATAGCATCAGCATCGATCGCTTAAAAGCAGCGTATTTAGAAGGAAATCCTATCTACGTGGATTTTCCTTCGGTACAATCGAACGACACGACTCCGACACTTATAATACCTCATCCGACAACCAGCACGCACGATGATACTTTGACAGTATCCGAAAATAAACTTAAAACGACGCGTTCTGGAAGAAGGGTGAGATTTCCAGAACATTTAAACGACTATTGCACGTAAGGCACTTCTCGACATTTTATATTATTTTTAAAAAAAAAAACAATTTTAATATGCTTATATATTTTTATTTCTATTTAAAAAAAACACAAAACAAAAAAAACAATTTTTTTAAATGCTATTACGTGTTCATGAGTTTATTTTCCATTTTTTCTCCGCCGACATTGTGCTTTTACGCACATACGAGTGTATTTTCGACATGCACTTACATTTTCTTTTTTCTTTTCCAGGACGGCTGGAAAAGAACGATGACGTTTATGAGGATCCGAAATTTTCATTGTACATTTTCTTTTTTTACTATGTTGTACCTCCGTCCCATATAGTAAGGAAAGACGACCAGACGCTGCTAAATTTAGTAAGCTATCAGAAGAGTGTTTACCAACGACAAACTCGTTGGGTTTAAACTTCTGGCTGGCCACGTCTTAGGGTCGTCACTGCCCCACTAGGGGGGGAGTGATCTGTAGCGGTAAATAAATCCCCAAAATAAATAGCACTAAGTTTTCGACATTGGATGCTGACCATATGTTTTAGTGGACTCACCTAGCTGAAGGCGCTCGGTCAGGCATCCGCACCAGATCACGTGTGGTAACGCCGTGCTCAACATCAACCGCAATCGCCAGCCAGATTAGATCAGAGAATTCCGATATATTGGTCATCGCCAAATATACTCTTCCGATCTCCTCGACTCTGTCTTTTGATTTCTTTGGGCGGGAACGAAATATATTAGAAGGTGTTACTGGTAGAAGCGTTGTCAAACACTGAATACCTGTGACATCATCATGGGTTTGATAAGTGTCCATCATGTTGCACAAATATTAAGTGTTATCATATTAAAGTGGTCTTTCGCAACATCAGAACCACAAAATCATTGCGAAGAAGGTAACTTAGCTCTCTCTATCTTGTACTACACACGTTAGAAGGACTGTTGGTTTTTAAGTTGATCTGGAAAACCAATATTTTTACTGAACTTCACCGCCTTTGTTTAAAACCTTACAAGGTCCAGAAAACAACGTCACAACAATGAAAATAACTTTACAGTTTCAGATACGTGAACTTTATGTGGATCGTTGTTTTACTCAATGATATGACGATGTGTTATATAACTGGTAAGTCATAAATCTTAGTAATAATTTCTCCAGTTCTGTTTTGAATAATATTTGCTCAGTGCTGTGTGGTGCACCAAGTTCAAGAGATTCTTTAGTCGACGTAAATGAGATGTATAATACTGAACAGTTATTTTGGAAGCTGGACTGAATTCGATAGTGTGCTAAAGGAATTTCGGAAAGTAGGGTAGAATAAGTTTTTCCATCCTCAGACAACTCATACTCATTACATTCACGCCGAAAGTAAACTGCTTTTTGATAAATTCTATCCTGTAGATATTTGTTATTTCAGTTGTTAATAATTCGTAGTTTTGATCGTGTATTTCCTATTTTATTTGACTGGAAGCGAAAAGAATTGTGAGCAAATGTGACTCGATCGTGGATAAATTGTGACATACTGGCTTCTTTTCCGTCATTCTACTGACTTACATAAGAAGAAGAAACCCTACAAGTAAGCTCAATCAATCACGAAATATAAACTGTATAGTTCACAATATTCGTAGACATTCAGTTGGTGGAACGTTCACAACACTCACACCTTTCATAATAACAGAACACTATCATTACCCAGACGAGACGAACAGTATGTAAAAATTCGTTGTCAATGTTGAATTTAACAAGCAAATGAAATAGCATCTAACTGAATGTACTTAAAAGTGTCTCACTTATTGTAAACAGTGCTCATTTGCTAACCCCTTAGGATTTCACTTGGTCATTTGGTATTAACAATAAAATACAGTGTAGGGCCAGTGAAATGTCACTGAGCCTTAGCCAAATCATCTGGCAGTTGTGTCACTGAATATCGCACAGATCACTTATCCTCGTCAAGGTCAAGCACAAACAACGCTCATTAGTTGGTAGTACGCCATGGACTGGATCATGCGGCGGTGGTCTTACTT